AAACCTGATTTCATCACTGCCAGTTTGAAGCAGATTTTTTTCCTATTTTTAGTTTCTTCAACATACTGTAGTCACGTGCACTGAGTAAATTGAGTATTGGAGCTAATTTCTTAAAAATTAAGTGTTCTGGGAGTCAGAGAATCCAAATAAGCATGCAACATCAAGGATATTTTCAAATTCACAAACACATGGACTCTCTGTAGTTAAAATTGTGATAGAATCCTGCTGGCAGAGTCCGAGTTGTATTAGAGCACTTACAGAGGAGGGTCAGTCAGAGCCTGTCTTTTAAGGGTCAGAAGTAGGAACTATGGTCAATAAAGTAAATCTGTCATTCCCTGTGTATATTTCCTCAGTGAAATACCTCTCATGTATTTTCCAAACGCATTAAAGAATACACTTTCATTCATCCCACAGCTGATGCAAATCCCTTTGCTCTCCCTTCCAGTACCTCCATCACTGCTGTCTTTCCCCTCCTTTCAGAATTCTTAATTTTGCTTGAAGCCCTAGCACTGTTACTTCTCATTACCCATATTTCTGAATGACAGTCACTGGCATCTGAAAAACAATTTGAATCTCAGTCTTCAAAATACAGAGGGATCCATCACAGATAATATCAGTATTCAGCATCACAAGCCATACCTCCAAAAATCACGACCTTGCTTGTTTGCTTTCTTTCATTTGCATGTCTGGCATCCCTCCTCTAATTCTGACCATATTGAGATGATGGTTTTCCAAGCTCTTCTCAACACCCAAGCTGGTATGAGCCTTTGTTTTTACTTTGGCTTTTTTTTAACTTTTTTTTTTTTTGTAATGAATACTGAGATTTTCACAAAATCATGAATCCATCTGGGAGTTTGTGTTCTAAATAAAAAAATCAAATATCAAAAGATTTGCAGTAAAATTGCAACACTGGAGATGTATGAAGATCTTGCTCTTATACCTTAATCTTAAACATGAATAATGGCTTTTCAACCCCTTGAATTCTAAAATATCTTAGCAATTGGATTCATTTACAAAAAAATTAGTGCTTAGTGTCATTATTCATCCAGCTGTTTTTTTCATGTTTGCTTCTATAGCTGTTTCCCTTTAAATGTCCTACACCTGCATTTCTTTTAAAAAAATACGTATATTCAAGAAAGTTATTTTAATTAATCTGGCATTTGTTGCTTTTTTTTTTAACCTTTTAATCTAGAAATATCTAGCCTGTTCTCCACTGGATGTGTTGGGAGACCTGTGCATGAGACGGGTCCAGCCTATGGGCTATGGTAGCTCAATGGAAAGGAATGACCCATCAAAATGCCAAGAGTGACCTCATAACGCTCAACAGTTCTCTACTGTTTTTGACAGTATGTAAGGAGGAACCGAGCAATACGTGTCACTTTAAGCCATGTGGCTGAAATCTCTTCCTCTCTGAATTGTTGGTCTGGGGACTTGTTTATTTAGTTGTGCTCGGTAAGGTATGAAGAGCTACCCAGCAGAGGTAATCCCCCTTGGTGGGCAACGAAGTACTGCATGCAGCTGAAGCGGTTTGAGCAGCTGAACTGCTTCCCTGGGAGGCACCTGCCTGGCCCTGCACCGTCTGCACTCCCACAGAGTGCGTAGGGAAGGCGCAACCTTCGTGTTCACGCAGGGTACCTGTACAGCACAAATGTTCGGAAAACATGGCACACTTAAAGCAAATGAACAGAGCTGTTAGCAGGAAATGAGGAGCAGACATAAAGAGACAAAGGCAGAAGGTTTATTTTGTGTATAAAGGTAGGAAAGTTGTGTACATGTGCACAATGTAGTTGAGAATATAGAAGTACAAAGAGGAAAGGAGCAGCGTTTCTGAAGTCAGGGGATGTTTCATGATGACAAGGCATTAGAGGAAGGAAAGAATTCAATTCCGGGTGTGTATTCGGTAAAAGAAAGAATGAACTGATGCTCTGCTAATTTATTCTAGATTAATAACTTGTGTATTGCTGTAAATCCATATAAAGCCTGTATTTAATATTGTGTGTATACTCTTATATCAAGTTTCTAGTATTGAAGAGAAAGAGTTCTGGAATCTCTATACAGATTTATTCTTTAGTTTTCATATTATGCATATAGCTATAGTACGTCAGACATACTGTTATAACATGTATTGCTTTCTTCAGCATTAATACCAGGATGAAATTTTTGCTTATTGTAGTGTACCCTGTACTGTATATTCTATAAATAACAGTTTTTAATAAACAGTTTTAAATAACAGAACATAACAGTTCAATTTACTTATGTGGGAGCTGGACTAAACCCAGGGAGGAAAAAAGCCCCAAACTTTATTGTGATTTTCTTAATTTTAATTTTAAAAAAACACCTTTATTTGAACTTGGGTTAGTAACATCAGTTTTTTCATTTGAATTTTCAAAATTTCTTATTTCTTTGCCTTTAGTTAGCATTCTGAAATGATATGATAGTTTTAATTTCAAGTTATTTGTGTTTAAATTTTTCATTTTTCATTTCAGTAATACTAAACCAAGTAACATTTTGTAGCTACAATTAAATGAAAGCTACAGTTTGGAATAAAATTTCCAACATAATATGTTGTTTATTATTTCAAGTTTCTCCGTATTAAAGAAAATTGACATTTTAACAGAAAACAAGGTGAATGTTTTAATTTTGTTTTGTCTTACCTGGATATTTTAAACCAAAATGCAAACATTCAACACAGAAATATTGATTTCATTAAAAAAAAAAAAGAATTTCCTCTGACATTGTAGGTTTGATCACATTACTTTATCTGGAGTAAAAAGCAATTTTGCAAAACTGTATTTTCATTGAAAAAAAATTCAAAATGCAGTTTGGTTTTGGTTTGTTGTCTTTGCCTGTGTTATATAATTCACAATATTACATGTGATTCCCAGTAAGTAAGATAACTAAGCCCTACATCTGATAGAATATACAGTTTTGTTTCTGACAGTGCTACATTAATTTCATCCCCAGTGCCGGAACATGAATGCTTATCTTGTGTTTACTGATTGCTTACAAAGGGGAAAAAATCTTTTAGCTCATTTATTTATTTATTCATTTATTAAGAGATTAACAAGAAAACTACCCCAATCACTTTTCTGGTATGATACAGACAGCAAAAAAATTATCCTTGTATAATACAATTGTTATAAGTAAATATATTGTGCTTAAGTTTTCATACTAAGGCAGGTGCTTGAGACAGGAATATGTGACATATCACAAATGTGCAAAAACCCCATGTTTGGGGTTTTTTTCCTTCCTGAAAATAGGAGTAGACTTTTTAGTAACACAAGTGTTGCTGCAATTATGCGCTGAATGGTATTCAGAAAAATAACAGACTCTGGGATGTTTATGAAAGGTGGGAAATAAAAAAATAGAGGCTTGATCTTCAGGCAGTGACTTCTGCTATATCCTGCTGTGGCAAAACATGAACCTTAACATCTCACTTTTGTACACATTTTAAGGTGTCTTAATGCAACTGCAGAACTAAAGGTGGGATTTGCTCTTCATGAACACTCCAAGTCCAACCCACAGTAAGTTGGGTAGTACTGAAGAAACAGGGTCAGGTTTGAAGTGGGGGAAGCTAATATGACTGGGCTCAAGGACTTCTGCAAAAGATCGGCTGTTCTCTCTGGAGTCAGAAAACCTCATTGTATAGCTTTAGTTAGTCTTTCCTATAACTCTGCTACATGTAGTGTCACTTAATAATAAAACACCACCTTAACACGTGCTTATTCTTTTGAATCACCACTCAAGGACACTATTTAAATGACTAAGAGGAGTACAGAATCTATACAAATACGATCGTGAATGCCCAAAGAAATGATTGCACCATTCATAAACCTTTTTTTGCCTTAAAGAATTGTTCAGAAAAACAAAACCTCACTTTTCACTACTGTTTTGTATTTAACAGTGTGTTTCAGTTGTGTCTACACTCTCAAAGGCAACTACACAGATATTTTCCTATAATATTTTTTGCTAAACCTCCTGGTATTCATAATTTTAAGGGCCCTTATTTTCATTCTTTAAAGAATCCATGGACAACCAATCAACTGAATTAACTTGATTGCTACCTAAGAAGGAAAAATCCCATATTTTTGTCTGATGACAGTCATATCTATTGATGGATAACATAGATTTACTTCAAGTGGCAGAAATCTTTGAATAAACAACAAATCCATGATTTTAAAGTCTGGCGTACTTACTGGGCCTTTCTTGAAAGAGGAATCATGATGAAGATTAAGACAGCTGTATTTTATCTCAGTATAATATGTTGGAGATGTCCAGGCTATTGGAGCAAAGGTTCGGGATTAGTGATATCAGTGCAGGATTGCCACTAATTCAAATAGATGCGAGTGTCCTCAGCATGTTGCCAATTACTAATCTAAATCATTATCTAATTATCCAAAAACATCCTACATGATTTCACAGATGCGAGACCTAACTGCCAAAGAAACAGCAATGAATATGGTATGTGATGCAAAGATAGTGACTATCTGTAAGATTTAATGGTAAAATTAGCCTTATTGAAGGCAGCGGGTCTTTGCCACTCATTGCAGTAGGGTTTGAATGCCACCATCAGTACAGTAAATCTTATTGTTCTCATTGATATGTATTGCCTGTCGGTGTGTCCCACTGTTGCCCATTGGCAGTGTGTGTGTGGTGAAACGCTCTGGTGGAGGTGGGATGGAACACTTTTTAAGATCTGCTGGAATTTGTTCTAAAATTAAGTGAAAGAACTAAACCAGATCCAAAGCGATTCATAGAAAATCATTCAAGGAAATATAAAACAAGTTTTAAAACTCTGATGTTTATATTGCTTTGCTAAGCTGTTTGATCAAGGCATCTTCTGCTGCATTAAAATACAAAAGTTTAAAGACTGCTTAGTAGTCTTCCTGTTCACCCCACTCGACTGCTGGCTCATCATCCATTCGTAGAATAAGATAGGAGAGAAGCTGGAAGAGATTCTGCCACAACAGTAAAGAGACAAAAAAGGAGAGGTCGCTTACATCTATCTCACAGCGGTCTCCGGCATAGTTCACGTCGCAGAGGCAGTGGAACTTGTTTAGTAGGTTCTGGCAGAGGCCCCCATTCAGACACGGGTCAGAGCTGCACTCATCAATGTCCTTTTCACACCTAGAGGAAAGACTGCAAAGAGTGAGCATCTGAAATCACAAATCAAATGCATCAAACAGGCACGTTTTTAATTCAGAAGTTTTGGGGGGAAGGAAGAAGAGGATGCTTTATTTGAAATCTGTGGTATATTTCCACATGTGTTTATGATTTTCTTAACTACCTGATTAGCCACACTCCAATCCTGAACTACCTGTATTATTTTCAAACACAGATAGTTAAGCCAGAAGTTTCATCTCTATAAAGCATTTCATGGTCAATGGTGTTTAGCAATGTGAAATGAAAGTTTGTGTATGCTTTTAGGCCTAGATCAGGTGCAAGTCCTGCTGACAGCTTGCTTATCCGTTTTCATTGTTCCGGGGAGCTGAGGGCACATTTTCCTTCTCAGTAGTCTCAGTGTAAGTCAAACAAATGCATGTTTTTCCCACCTGAGTGCTCCTGGGAATATTCACCTGCCTCCCCCCCCCCCCCCCCCCCAATTTGGAGTGCCAATAGATCCCAGCAGAATCTCCTATCTGGTCTCTCTGAGATGGGCCCTGAGAATGGTTAAGAATGGTGCAGAACAGAGCTTTACAAGCTTAAATATGTATCATTAAATGCTTTTGAGTTAATTCTGATGATAAAGGAAATTTAAGTTCTCATAATTTCTCAAGGCAACCAACGTAACATTAATGAGGAATGTGTGAGATTGTCTGAAAACTAGTAATGATTTGGTGATTTTCTGCTCTGACAATGTTCCCTTTTAATTCCCTGCTCCTTTTTTTCAAATAATGCTAATGGTTAATCCTAATTTTTCCAGATAAAAAAGCAGGTTTATTCTTGAAGAAGAACATGAGAAACTCCCTCTGAATTATAAGGAATTGCTTTGTTCAATCATATTCATAACCATGCAATAAATTTTGTGTTACATTAGAGAAGAACAGTTCTTTATATTAAACACTTTTATCTGACTTGCTTTATTAATCTCTAAAAATATTTCAACAGTTTCCTTCAGTGGTAAATTATATTCATATACTTCAAAAGCTAAATTAAAATATTTATCCAATGTATAAAAATTGTATAGCTATGAACTTACCTATGCAAAGAGAAAAAAAATACCAGCTGCCCCAAATCTTCCAGGGAATTAGGCACCTGAATCCAACTGAGTATCAGGAACACTTAAAAACCTAACTCCCTTAGGTAATTTTGAAATTCCCAGCCTGAACTGAATGAAAAATTTGTTTTCATGAGACAGCTATATCTCCTTTTATGAAGAGTAATCTTTTCACATTTCCCTTTCCACCAATTATTAAGTTAATTAGGATTTTTTTGTGATCCGATGTCAATTGACTGACATAGAAAGACACTATTTTCTCTATACTGTGCGTCAATGGCTTTCTGAGGGATGAAATATTGTCTTAAAGCAAAATGCCTGCTTTATCAATCTAATTCAGAAATATACAAAGGGGTTTGGTTTTCATTTTCTTATTCACTGATATATTTGAATTTGTTCTGAAAAAAAGGAGGGGTGAAATTTTCTCATTTGATATACTAAGATCTGCAAGCACAGAAGTACTATTGGTTTATGGTTTGGCAGCCTGGAGGAAAAGAGGACAAATAGTCAATTTTAGACATTGGAGAAGAATGCCTTGCTGTGATAGTCAGTTAAAGTGCAGTATGCTTGGTACAAGGCTGCTGTTCAATATGAGAATCATGGGAACCATAAAACAGAGATTATTGCCAGCCAGTGGGATGGATGTAAAGAAGGCTCATTCCCAAAGCTGTAGTTAGCAAATTGCCTGGCAGGGGAAGGAAGAAGGAAAAAGTACTTTCCTTCTACTTTGAAGTCCCAAGAAATATACATGCCAAAGAAGTGCCTAAGAATATGCTTTTACTTTTTCTTATTTGATTTTTTTCGCTTTTTTTTTTACTATTGTGAGGTGGTTCACAGACCTTCTGGCTGAGTTAAACAGTACAATGCAGACATGTCTGCCAACTAGTGTGCATTGAGTGGGTGGAAACTTTCATTTCATCTATCTTTCATAGCTTACTGTACTGTTTCCACAAAATCAGTGGGTTAATAAGTTTTGAGAGAATGAAAACCTTTTGTTGAAAACTTTGTGTTTGCAGAGCCAACATAGCATGGTCCTGTTGAACTTTTGGATATTATACTCTGATGTAATGCTTATTTCACTAAGAGCATGTACGGTATTTCCTTTCTCACTGTCCAAAAAGGTGCCCTTATCTGTTCAGACTACATTATGACTGGGACAACACCTTTCTATGTTTCTACAGCACCTAATGCCCTGAGGCTGTCAGGCCTCCCTGCTCCAGAGCTGTCTGCAGAAATTATCAAATGGTAACTGTGAATTGTGACAATATGTTACAAGATACAAATTTCACTGTGTGGAAGGCCCCTCTGTTTCAAACTAAACTATAACATGTAAAAAGTGTTTCTTATGTTCTTTTTAAAATAATAATTCTGTTTTCATACTTCAGCATTCAGTAAGTAACAAGCTGCAATACCACCAGGTATTTCATCTCATACCATCCCTGTGAAAGAATAGATTGTATAGTCACAACATATACATGTGAAAATGAAACTGCTTTGCATATTCATGTGTCAGTGTATTGTAGCTGATTTTTATATATAAGCAGGATATGTGTGTTTATGTGTCCCCACCTATGGAAAGACAACATTCTAGTTTGTCATATACAAAATTGTCACGGAATCAAAAAAACAGGCACGTAGAAGCAAGTGTACAAGCTGTCTAAGAAATAATACCTTGCACGGGAGTTAATGGTGCTATATTGGATTAAATCTTGCTGCATTAATTTGTGATTTTCATCTAAGTAAAACTGCTATACTTTCAGACCCTCAAAGTCACTCCAGCAAGGAACTGCTGAACTTAAATTAACTGCTTTGTCCATATTTCTGCAGGAGGGCAAAACCCCTGTGGCCGTTACTCTCTGGACCCTTCTGGAAGAATTGTTCCACAAAGACCTGCTGGGTGAAGCATCTCACCGTTCTCCAGCAAATCCAGGCAGGCACCTGCATGTCAGCTCGCCACTGAGATCAGTGCAGTTGCCATAGTTGAAACAAGTGAGGTTTCTCTCTTCATTCCCACAAACTGTATATGGTAATCTTCTGTATCTAGGCAAATAAGAAGGCAATGGCAGTTATTTGCGCTTTCCTTGTTTCTGGATGTCTCATGCTCTCTCAGCTTTTTGTTTGACTCTAGTCCACTGCTTTAGTGGAAAATATTTAGATCTACCTTGCAAATTTGTTATTTGACTGCAAAATCTAGTCCTGTTAATCTCCAAATAGAGGGAGCAGTGCTTCTCCTGGCAAATACTATTCAATACCAATGGGAAAGGCATTACATTTTACCTGTAACTGAACACACAGTTTCAGGGGCTGCACATACTTAGTGCCTCCTTGGTTTCCTCTTTGGAAAGGAAACCCCACATTTGTGTGCATTGGCACGCCTGGTGCCTGGGGTATTTGGGGTGCTCATGTTTAGTGGTAGGCAGCAACTGAACTGGGGCAGCAATGCTGTTACTGGCTGGGGTATCGTCCAAAGGAAAGACAGCAGGAACTGAGGTTTAAGACGCAAAAAACATGTTTTGTTTAACTTTTTTAATTTGCTGAATTTGGGTTTCCTTTTCCAAGTATTTACTGGCAAGTTAATGATTCATTTTGTAGCAAAAAAAAAAGAAAAAAGAAAAAAAGGGACAACACTGCCTACGTTACTGATGTGTTTCTACGTGATACCTGGACAGCTTAGGAGAAGAGTTCAAAAGAGAGACTTAGCATAAAAGATGGGCCAATATAAGGCATCTTCAAATCTCAGGATGTCCTCACTGCTCAAAAAGAGCCAACAAAAATTGACAATTGTGTAATTATAGCCTAAAAATCTGTGGCTGGGCAGCACAAAGACGACTGTCTGTTTGCATCCTTCAGGCTGCAGCAGACTGAGTTTGTTGGAGTCCTCTGTTCTCTGAGAGCAACAGGACATGCTAGAAGGGAGAAGTTAATGGTGTGCAGAAAAGGGCAATTAAAGGAGAGAGAGACAGGGGAACAGACTGCAGCGTTTGCAGAGGAGTGTCTGAGAAGAATAGGAAACAGGCATGTGAGGAGTCTCAGAAGTGATGGAAATAGTGGGCTGTGTGGTGTCTGCAGCCACCAGGACTGCTGGGCTGAGAGAGCAAGCTTGGAGGAAAAGACCCGCCTAGCAAAGATGCTATGGATGGGGAGAAAAACTTCTTTACAAGCCTTTCTATTGTTATTTTCTCTTACCCACCAACTCTGAATTTCTCTACTTATAGTTCTAGAGCTCTATTACTCTAACAAAGTATGGTTTTAGGGATTCTAAACCCATAAAATCCTTTTTTCTAAAAAGGAGGTAACACATCTGTCTCTGAGCTCTGGTGGACTTGTAATCCTGTCATCAAAGAACTGGTGTGACCCAGGCTGGCAGCAGAGCTGGGCAGCAGAGCTATGCCTTGTTCCCTGTCTCCTTGCCTCATCAGTCTCTGCCTGAGCTGCCACCTCTCCACTGCCTCTGCCCGTGTCTAATTGATCTTTACAGCTTACTTTACTGCAGACTCTTTATCCATTAATTCTGCAGCCATGATTAATATATAGATAGAGGCATAACATCTGTGTTTAAAATGGAGACATCAGTGATGTAATAACCCTTCAGAAGAGACCTGACAAAATCATATGGATCTGCCTTATAGTACCTGCAAAATTTTCCAGTGAAGTTGCCAGCACACAGGCAAGAATATCCGTTAATCCCATCAACGCAAGTGGCCCCATTTGCACACTGGTGGCCACGGCAGTTGTCTACATCCTCTTCACAATTCACCCCTGTGTAACCAGGTTCACAACTGCACCCATAAGCGGTGATCCCGTCAGTGCAGTTTCCATGAATACAGGGGTTTGAAGAGCATTCGTCAATGTTGACTTCGCAGTGGGTGCCAGTCCATCCTTCGGAACATATGCAATGGTAGGAAGTATAGAAGTCTTCACATATCCCTTCATGCATACAGGGATCTGAGCTGCAGACATCTACCTGCAAACAGCCGGTAAGAGCAGGGTTTGCAGATATTTTGAGAAACTGCTCCTTTTGAGGTTTTTTAGTAGGGGTGTCAGCATTTTCAAAGTATGAGAGATAAATGCCACTGATTTCTATGGTGCTCATACATCCTCGCAAGCCATCCAGACTGTCAAAAGCCTTGTCAGCCACATAGATGTCTGTCTCTTCTCTTAAAAAGTTGAGGCTTCCTGCAGCAGTTGTACTAGTTGCAGTGTCTTTCTTGTTATCTATATCAATGTGCCATCTAGAGAACTGGGACAGGGGCTCTACCATAGACACCATTACTTGATGCCATTTCCCATCACTCACAGCGAGTGAACTAGCAAGGGTCAGCTTATAAAAGCTGTTGCCGCTTTGCAATTGAAAGAGTAATTTGGAGTTGTGAATACTGATGATAACAAACTCTGGCTCCTTCTCTGCATACAGCAGTATCACGTCAGTGTCCCTAGTTCGAAAGCCAAATACGATATTGGTGAGGTCTCTGCTGATTTTTCCATTGCTTCTGTAAAATATCGCACTGCTTCGGCCACTAAACACTGCATTAGCAAGACCTGTGCAAAGATAATAATTGAGAAACCAGGCCAACTTTAAACCAATACATGTGGAACAATATATCTTCAGTGCCCCATGCTCCCTGTCATGTAAGTCCTTTTGGGTTTGCTGAGAAACAAATTCCACCAGTGTTTCAGTTATCCTTGCCTGTCCCTTATGGCTATAGAAAATACAGGGCAGTGCCAGCACCAGCTATATTGACATCAAAAGTGTGCTGCTTTGCAACACCTCAAGTTATTGTTCTAAAGATACATGAGTGTTATCTCTCTTTTTCCTCTTTAGACAAAGAGGAGGAGGTGATCATAATTGTATACAACTCAAACCTGAGGCTGAGAGGGTACTTCAAAAGAAGATATATGTTTGTCATTTTATGTTCGTTCCCTAAATATGGGCAGCTAGTTATTCCCCATGACAGATCTGGATGGGGTGAGCCTTTGCTCTCAATTCCTCTTTTCTTAGGTGAAGCACTAACGAGGTTTTAGATAGTGTTTGACTGGATCCCAATTTACTCTCACTGATGCAAAAAGGATGAATTTAATTGAAGTCAGTTAGCAAAAAGCCCCTTCAAAATCAATGTAAGAAGAGTTGTGCCTGTCACATTTAAAGCTAGCTCCTCCTGCTGTGTACACAACTGCCATGGCCCCGATGACCACACCAAGTCTGTGCTGGGAGGGCAGCAGAGGACTCAGTTTGCACAGCTGTGAGTGAAAATTGATGGGCAACATGGTGGCAGTTTTATGGACATCACAAAGGTATTAGACAACTTTCATTAACATGGTTTCTACTAAAATGCACTAACTCACTGGGCTGTAAATTTGCACATTCTGAGATTTATGAGGATTATAGACAGGGAGGAGAGACTGGAAGGAATGTCTTCCGTCTGTACTTCAGACAAATCTAGCTTTGCAAGATCCTAGCACTGGGATAAGGTGTGTTCCTGAGCTATCTCTGAGCTCAGTAAACCTTGATGAAAAGAACCCCTGGGAGTCCCAGTACAAAATTATTGACTGTATATCCTGATACTAAGGCAGCAGAGGTGTAACTACATCACCTGGCACATCAACTGTGGTGTCTTTCTCATAGGAAAAGTGTCCTCAGAGGAAACCATACTAAAAATGAAAGTCAGAGCTTTTAAAAATTATTTCTGATTTTTTTAATGTCTCACAAAGCTGAGGTTTTTAACCTCATAAAGCTAAAATACTCCTGTAGAACTCTTATTGAGTCCTGAGCACAGCAAGCCATCTGGATGTGCTTTTACTCTCAGATGTGACACACACAGTTTTGCTGTTAGTTGATGTTCCCCACATGAGCTTCCTGTATTGGCTTTTTCTCTTTCTTTGGAGTGCGTGTTTTTCTAAAGGGCTTGCTAGTCGTAGCCATCTAGGTGGAACTATAGCCACAACCCCTAGAAAACAGCTCTTTTGCTGTCTCAGCTTGAAATGGTATCCAGAGCGTAAGACACCAGGCTGGTAGAGAACTCACTGGCCAGTGAAACTCCTTTTTTTCATTACCCTGTGTTGAACAACAAGAAGCCTATGCTGTAGCTAAGAAAACAACTAGTTAAAAAATACAGCTCTGTAGTGCAGGAATTTTTGAATATCTATTAGGGAAACTCCCTACGATTGTCACCTAAACCAGCACAGAAATATAAAGGTGATCTAACAGTGTAAATGACCTTGAGTTTAGCAAAAGGAAACAGGTCAGATACTTTTCAATTGTGTGTCTGTGTGTTTATATTCTACTGTAACATGCAATAGTGAAGTTTATGAGAGAATGTACTTTGACGTTATCATAAAGATGTCTATTAAAGAAGGTGCAATTATTTTAATTTCAGTTATAAATTTTAATAAGTGCTGCAATGCTGATTCTAACAATCTCAACAAGAATAGAATCATATTGGTCTGTCAGCAAGTTGTCTCTGATAGAAACCTTTTGTTGACCAATCTTCTCATTCCTAAGGGTCAGCCATTCTAACAGCTTCCATCAGACTGTACGTGTATTTATCTTCCTTCACAGCATCATTAGGGCTTTCTTTGATAGCAAAAAGAAAAAAATATTGCTTCAAAATCCTTACTTGCTTCTTAAATGCCACTCCAGAGTGGGAAGGAGAAGGAAAGTGGAGAAGGAAAGAGATAATGCAGGGTGGCTAAAGTTCTTAAGACAGCTAATGGTCATCAATTTTCAAATCAATGGTCATCAAATTTTCAAATGGTCTCAAATTTTCAAAAATTTTCAAATTTTCAAATGGTCATCAATTTTCAAATTTTCAAAATAGACTGTTTGGCATGCAGGTCCTTCTTACGAAGATACTAGTTGAATAACTGTACTGCTGGTATTAAGGTGACTTTCTTTAAAGATATTTAACATTTAAGAAAATCAAATGATGCAGTGTATGTCACGTAGCTTGTCCTTTCAGGAGGATGGAGAACATCCTAAGGTTAATCCAATACTGGATATCCTCTTATCTCTTTGTAGTGGAAGTATGAGGGGTACGCTTGCTCTCTGGCAATGTACAGATCTATTGTACAACCTCAACAAGTTGTGTTGAATGTCAAAAGCAGAGGTCCTGCAAACATTGCTGTCTGTGTCAGGGGGTCTGGTTGAAAATGTCTGGGTTTGGTAGGGCAGATTCTTCCCGTTAATGTTACTTAAAATTGACATTATTATTATTTTAATACAGTAATAACATTTGATTGTAATTTAAAGGCAGTCAATATTGAGTTTTAAGGAAATCCTGATGAAAATTTCCATTCTGTCTAATCTCCAAAGATGATAGGAATAACTCAAATGTACCTACATTCAAATCCTTGGTGCACCAGCTGGCACTGTGCTTCATGAGGACAGGGCCCAAGCTCACACCACTTAACTTCCTCGCATGCCTTCCCTGCTGTGTTGGGGGGGCACGTGCAAGTGAAGTCATCCCAGATTGAATAGCACACACCACCGTTGTGGCAAGGGTTGGACTATGGGGAAAGAGAAGAGACAACCTAAGTATGAATAAAAGCTGGTGGACTCCCAACTCTAAGCATGGGGAACTGTTTAGCAAAAAGGAGAATTCTGTTTATTTCAGATGGAAAGTTATAAAGACCAGTACTATGACAGCACAGCATGTTCAATAATTGGTGAAAACCAGTATTTCAACCTTAAAATATTTTAATTCTCCCCTATGCAAATACATTTTTGCTGCTGATATTCATCATAGGTAGCATAACTCAACAAAATCTGCTCTTTCTAGCATTTTTACATATTTTCCTAAGATGTCATTATCATCAAATAATGTATGGGAACATACAAAAAAATCAAAGAAAGTCCCCACTATAAACATATGAAAATGTTCTGAAAAATGTCATTCTTACCTTGCAGAGGTTGTCACCAGTGCAGCCTTGGGTGACATTGATCAGACTTAGGTTGATAGAATTCAGTGGATTGGTGATGGGGAAGAATTCCAACAGCTGGTTATTCACTCTTACATCTTGGATGCAGCCTTTGAAATACCTGCCATTTCTATCAGTTTCTTTGTTATCTGGTAGGCCTCCAATGTAAAGAATATTCTTACTTTGGATGGTTAGTACTGGAGTAGAAATAAAGCCTAGGTATTGAGAGGACTGGAACAGTTCCATCTTATTTGGTTCTATTTTTAATGTTATTAAGTAAAAATTTCCATCGTTCATGGAGTGTTTCCCTAATAACTTCATGGAATTTGGAGCTAACATTGTGAGTTTCCCACCTTCCAAGTAGACTCTTACGTAGAGGTAAGTACTGTTTCTCAATGCCAGTAACAAGCCAGAAGATTTGCGTGTTCGGGCAAACATTGATATGTTCAAATTTTCATTCTGAGTGGCATCAACAGAAAAAGCAGCATAGCCTGAGGAGTCCTCAGATCCAAATCGGCCTGGAATGTACTCTTGAGGTTAGAGATATGAGAAAAGATTATAAAAAAAATAAAGAGAAGAAGGGAGAAAAATACAACAGTTAGGGCTAAATGACAAGGGAGCCAATGCAATGATCAAATAGCTACTTCTGGTAATATTTACGTATGGTAGTAAGATGTGCTGGTATTTATGGATGAATAAAGACTTGATCCAGCTGTAAATAGCTTCTATTTCAAAATTCCTCTTGGCTTCCATGGCTGTAGCATTAAGCCCCAGTACAGGTCCAGATGTTATATTATTGGGCATATTTTTCCCCTTTATCGTGCTCTGTATAATGCTGTGTTTTCAAATGGTTAAACAAGGACAGATTTCTACAGCTTCCTGGATTGGTCCAGGATCGTTTTGAAAAGAACCTAGCTGCTTTGATCCTCTGATGACCATGGAAGTTAATGTAATTCTGGTACTTTGTGATATTTTTTGCACTGATTCCAATCATAAAAATAGCCAAAAGCTGCTCAGCAAATGCCTCTTGTGTAAAGCCTCCAAATAGAGCACCTATTTGGTGCTGCATAGGCTCCCCACTTCTCTGACAGACTTTCTGTTGCTGGGGCTGAACACGTGCTCATATACATCAACTTGTATCCAGTTATGAATCCTGCTCAGTCCTGTGAGTGCCCACAATGCTATGGTGTCATGGGGGAAAAATGATCCAGGATCGAGTAAGCCTTTTTCTCTTTTTTTTTTTTTTTTTTTTTTTTTTTTTTTTTCAATTAAAATGATTAAACCAAAACCATCTGTCTCTCTCTCTTACTCTTTCAGTAATGATTTTCAGACTTGTAAGGATACAAAATATGTAGCCCAAACCGTATTTTATTCTGATGAATCATCTCGTTAAAGCACAACAAAGTGTTTCTATTTTTACACTTTAAGTTTCGTGATCTTGTCCTCAATATTATAGACTTCCTGCCTAAACACTTTCAAGAGCTATTTTTAATGTATCAAATTCATAGAAAGAATAAACCAAGCTTTTTTTAAATGCTCACACAGCTATAGTCAGTCCTCTTTTGTGCAGTAAAACTCCTAGAGCGAGACCTCATAGGCCAAGTTTCAGCCTGCAGTACTACTTTTTTTTATGACTACATTAAAAAACCCAATGAAAATAGGGGACTGACTGTGAAGCCCCAACAGACCCTTAATAACCACACTGCACTACTATGTGGCATGGTAATACTATTTAGCAACAGGAATAAATCCCTTACTTGTTCCTAAGCAGACAATTTCATAAGTAAATTAAATCTGAAATATTTTAATTCTATGAATAAGATTACCTATATATCTACATCTGCTCGTTAAAACTCTGGTATGTAGAAATAAATATTTGTTGGAATGGGTGTTTTGAGGCATTAAATCTCTTTAAGTTATATCTTCTCTGTAAGGTGGTGCTAGAGACGGAGACATTTTTTCATGAGGGTAAAAAGAAAATTTTTTTTTCTGGAATGAGGATTACACATTTGCAGTATTAGAAGGAAGCATTAATCTTCAAAAAGGTATTTTGTGTTTACAATTACTTTGTTGTATTTCTCTCTATTTATAAATATACATACATATATCATCAGTCTGATCTGTTTGATGAGATGGCTAGCATCACCTTGGTCAATATTAACCTCTTGGGTCACAACATCTGGATGTTGATCAAAATGAGTCAACATCTGTTTGTTATTTTGTATATGTAGAGAAAATATTGCCTCTTGTCAATTAAATACTTGGCAGCAACTTTTCTTCAGAAAGACACTAGTATTTCTTATGTTATCCTTTACCGCAAGTCTCCCCCACTCTGGCTTTTAAGAAACCTGCCACAGTCTTTTAAATATGGCATATATCTAGAACCTATGTATCAAAATGGCATGGTGCCATGATTTGCAAAGAATATTGTGGTCAGCAGGAAAAAAAAAAAAAAAATGCATGCTTTCTAATCATTCTCAACAGTTCTAATGCCAGTATAAGGCTCTCCTGGCCCTGACTGGTTTTAATTTTGCTTCATATAAGGAGGCAAACATATTTACCAGATGTTGTCCTATACTCCAAAGTTGCTTTCCAAATCTTTGGATAAATTACAGCTAGACTTCAAAGAAGTCTGTTACAATTACCTCTCGGACTTTGTCATTTTGCAATAAAACCAAAAAGAAAAACTATTGAAAAGTATTGATAACTATTAAGTATAGCACACAAAATGAAATTGTATTTAAACATTTTGAAATGTATTTCAAGCTACAGCTTTCTGCAGCAGTGCATTCAATAAACCCCTGGGGCTAGTCGTTCAGCTGATGTAAATCAATGTAGCTTCACTGGTGGCAGTGCAGCCACACCAGTTTACACCAGTTTAGGATCTGTCCATTCCAATCTGACCATGGCTCTGCTGTTGCACTTCATTTTTTCCAGTCCACTTGGCAAATACATATACATAAATATATGTATGTATGTATACATGTATGTATGTATTTCTTCCTCCCTAAACATTGCAATGATTGCCCGTGTGTGAATGGTTAGTAAGGGGGCAGAGAGGGAAGCAGGGGCAAGGGTGCTGCGTGGAAGACTCAGCCCTGTACAGTTTCCTTGAACAAAACTGCCTGTTTGAAATCCCTAAAACTTTTGCTGAGGAAGGATGGCAAAGTCCACCCTGAAATGTTCCTGAGGGGTGTTGTATTTACAGCTCCAGAGGGTTTCACACACCAGATGCAGTATAGCAGGGACCTGGGCAGGGACCTCCTGTTGTCCTTCCACTTTGCCTCAGCCTGCGCTCAGAAAGATCATTTGTAGCAGGGCAAGGGCTATGGGCATCTGCAGCTCTTGTGTTCCTGCTCGTCACTGCCAAAGAGGCTGTTTGCTGAGCTGTGCTCTTTTGTTCGCTGAGACATGGACACTTTTCCCTCTGGTCACCACGCAGCTCTCTGGTATGGGCCACCTTTGTTAGCGATGGTCCAGAGCTGCCCTGGGACCAGCTGAGAGATGAACGGGCCCTGTTTCCAGCCTCTGAAGCCCTGCCTTCTCCTTGGGCTAATCAGATTAAGTTAATAGTATAATCTCGTTCATTTTTTAAAATTGGAATCTGTCTTTTTTTAACTTGCAGTACTTTTGCTTGCCTTTCATGAGTTTCTTTATAAAAGCCTAGAGAGCTTGAGGATAAAATTTTCAAAGAACGCTTTGAAAGTAAGAAAGACTTAAACTCTAAGTGACTTGGTTGCTTTCTAAATTTTACTAGGGGTGCATAACCTCCAGTGAACTGCAGTTTTCGAGAGTTTATGGTGTGCTAAGAGCACTAAGAAGATTTTAAAACTGGATGAGTGGAGGCCACCAGTTTAGCCTGACTTTTTTTGTCAGGCTGCGAAGCAGTCTTCCTGGGAAAGCAACTAGAAAATAACAAAGGTGTGCTACTACTAACCTCTTCCACTTTCTTACCGGTTGACATTAAGCTCCAGAGATCCTAAGGGTCATGCTGTTTCATCACCAGTTAAACAGGATTGTTTATGATCATGTTTTCAGCAACCACTTAAAACATGAATGCCAACAGCATTCCCTTACCTGTTGCGCAGCTTGGCCCTGCGTACGGCCGGTAGCAATCACAGTGGTAGCTCAGCCACAAGTTAGTGCAGTGTCCCCTGTTCTGACAAGGGTGGCTTTCACACCAGTCCTTTTTAGCACATCCTGTCCTGACATTTAAAGATGATTCAGGTAATACATTCTCTGGAGTAATAACATTCAAGTCTATTTCAATGTCCTGGAGACAGCCTACAAATGAAGGTGCGGAATGTATATTATAGATGTTAAGTAGAGAGTTGCTGCTAATGTTCCCCACTGGTAAGCCGCCCAAAAACGTGCTCTGAAATGCAAGCATCACGTGATCGTTATCTATCATAGCAGACGTTTTATTGAGACATGATTCTACACAAGAGCTGTCAAGCAAATTAAGAGTAACAGCTCTTGCCAAGGTTACCTCCACTGAATGCCATTCTCCATCACTGACATTATGTGGAATATGCAAAAGAGCCTGTGGCTGGTTATTGACTTGCACAGATAAGTGTAAGTAGCCATTCAGTAGCTCCAGCTTCACAAATGTATTTTTCTCTCCTCGGTAAAACAGAAAAGCTGTAGGCTGCACAGTTTGAAACCTCAGGTTTATATTATAGAAAAATTCCTTTTTAGGGGTCAGGGGATTCTTCAACAAAAGGAAACTCTTTCCTTGAAAGGAAAATGTGGTTATGGTTTCACAGTGTATTCCAGTATACCCAGGTGAACATACACAGCTGAATCCGTGTTGGCCATTTTTTAAGTGTGGGATACATATTCCATTGTTTTGGCATTGCTGATCAGTACAGCCATGGAGAACTTCTGTACAGTTAGAGCCACCGTAATAAATCCCTTCTTTGTCTGCAGGTGGGCAATGGCAAGTGTAATTCCCAGGAAAATTCTCACAGATTCCACCATTTTGGCAAGGGTTAGTGTAACATTCGTTGATATCTTCATCACAGTGAGTACCTGAAGAATAAACAAAGAATTAGACATTCTGGATTGGATAACTGGAGCCCCAAATGACATTTTTAATAACATGTGTTTTATTAAATTATCTTTAATTAGAGGGGAATGTCTGGATAAACAGATGATTGACTCACAAGTCTAAAATATGTTAAATATAAAAATACTATTCACATGCCATGGTTTTCTTGTGCAAAGTATTATATAAAACACTGTAGTAATAATCACATTTTGGAGAAAAGAACCAAACAAATTGACAGTTTTGATATGGATAATGGGATCGAATTGAGATAAACATCACCTCCAAAAGAGGCGATCAAGTGATTGTTTCCCACCTATTCTATAGTAGAAGTCTAGAATGCTTTGAGAGGAACTGAATTATTTATCACATATGAAAAGCCAAGAATTGTTGCTTAATTCATATTCATAATACAGTAAGTTGATGAGCTGGAGTATAGTCTGCTGGTCTTTCCTTCTCTTTCACATTCATTCAAACAGTAGAAGAATTATGGACTAATATTCTTGGTCCCATATGAAACATCTTGGAGCAACAATCTTCAAGTGAGAGCCACTGGTCTTGTAAGTACTTTATGATATAGTGGAACAGACTGACAAGTAGGTGAACATCCCTGAAAAATGTAGTACAGTGAGCTGGCTATCTGAAGAATGAAATTCACAGTGAGTGGGGAGCTGCACAGTGTGACAAGAAGAAATCCAAAGAAGAGCTTAAACCTACATCCTATTGGTGGTCTGGGCAAGATGCAGTGAGATGTGCCCCATCCACAAGGAGTGGAAAGTTGCCACATTTCAAGGTTAGGTGTGTACTGCAGTTATTCACAAAAGAACAACGGATCTCAATTCTTCCAAAAACAAGGCAGCAGTGACTTCTGGGCCATCAGCCATGGTCTCATACTGTGAAGAGAGTTCACTTGGGACATGAGGATCTGAGAGAAGCTGTTGGAGAGGTTTGAACCTGTATGTCCCAGCAGAATAGTCCCCGTACCGTGTTATCTACAGTGGAACTTTCTTTACCTCTCCTATATACAAAATATAAAGCAAGAAAAGATGAAAGAAATATTTTCTCTTGGTGATGAGAGCACTTCCATAGAAGATGGGCAATACAGACTCATATTTCCTCTTCTTCAATATAATGCTTGGCTTCTGGTATATTGGGTAAAAGGAGAGCTCCTCATCTCAACTTCACTGTAATTTGATAGATGTGGCCCAAGTATGTCCACTGGATCAGACTTCACAAAGAAAAACAAATCTGTTCCTCTTGTAAAACTAATCTGTTTATGCCTTTGCACTGTTGTTCCTCCATAAAGTGGTAATTACAGTAACTTCTCCCTTTAGCAATCAAGTGACTGATATGTATGCAATGGATCAGGGAAAAAATCTTGTTTCTTATCTCTCTTGGAAGCAGTCAAAATATCCAAATACTTTTTTGAAAACTCATGCTAAGTGTAACTCCTAACATTTCCTCTTCCCTTCATAGTTATTCTAGAGGAAAAATAAGAAATACTTTGCAGTTAGTTTTCAAACTAGCATCATCAGCACAAAGTAGTTAATAGACATACTAATGCCTGTTCCCACAGCAAAACTGGTGCCTGTAAATTAGATAATGAGGTATGCTGAGACTCACAGAGTTGCAGCTAGGTACCAGGCACCACACCTAGCTTTAAAAACAAATTCTCATCGAGCTTTATTTTTACAGCAAAATGCAGCCATTTTTCATGGAAAATCACAGAGCAGCAGTCAGCCACGAGGAATTGCTTCAAATAGCAGTAGATAAATGTCATTACTCAGGCTAATTCCTTGCATGTCCACTTTATTCAATCACAGTTGTAACTGACCCATCTTGGAGAGGGGTAAGTTAAAGGGGAGCCAGAAGGGAACTGAGAATTGGTTGAGATTTGTTTGAAAGATTAGCAAGAGTGAAGTGGTCATAGCATGTACATAAAAGGCTCTCTCTGCAGTGATCCTCCTCACTCATCAATCTTCAGTTATAGCATATAGTTTCCACTTCAAGCTTCAGATTATCAAATACAGCTAATGTTATCTCCCTGGTCTGGCAGTGGGGTTTAATAATCTCTCTCTGTTTTCCAGCCAGGCTCATATTTATTCCAATGTAAGATGTCTATGTATACCTTAACGTGTAGTGGCATCTGGCAGAAATATGACTCATTGGGACCGACTTTCTCAAAGTGCAGTGCACTTCCCAAACCATTACTGACTGGGGGCCAGAACGATGTCTGCTTTGCCCAGTTTGTGGCAATTTCTGTGTTAATGACTTGTCCTGCTTTTGCTAGTCTAGTATATGAAAAGTGAAGTTACCGTGAGCTGTTCCCTGTTCTGGTCAATGTTTTAGTGTATCTCCTGACTGATATTGCTCCCTACCCTGCTTTGACATTGAGAACAGTGTGTTCACAGGTCTTGGATACAACTCCGTCTTAATGTGATGGCTGTAGCAATGCAGGTTTCTTTGGGTTTTTGTGTCAGAGAGAAAAATTAGTGCAGCCGAGAAGCAGTAGGATCAGGGATGTACTTAGCCTTGTCATAGAGCTTCAGAGTAGTCAGAGCATGCTTAAGGATTTATAGACTGGGAGCCCCTATAAAACCTTTCACAGAAAAAAAATCAGCATAGTGAATGCCTAGATACTTAGTTGCTGCATTTTCAGTAATGGGTGATGACTCTGCGTATATTAGTTTATTATCCCACAGCACATGTGAGGCATCACCTTTGCCTTGTAGCTTGTGGTCTAAGTCACACCTTGCAATAGTGACTTGTCTCTGGAAAGGATGAAACAGATGCATAAACTGAACCCAACTTTACAAAAATGTTTAGTGTCTGTGGTGTTCTCCACTTCATCAAATTAGACGTAAAATTAATGAAATGATTTCATGAGAACGCTAAACTTCTTCATCAGTGTCTAACAAAGAAATAAAACGCGTTTTTTTGAGGAGGTACACGTATTATTGTTAGTGTATTCCTTGCCTATAGGAAATGAATACCATCAGTTATTACATGCAGAGACTATCATAGAGCCACTTAAACACGTGTAATTTCATAAGCATTTCAGTGTCTGAATACAATGCTTTTTTTTAAGTAATGATGTTAATAATATGTTGCAAAATAATTATTTTGCGGGGTTGTGTGTATATAAATACACATGTATACACTTACGTCGATATACCTACTATTTCATAATAAGATTAGCACAAACATAAATATAGGTCATACCAAAACACAAATAATAAGCCATATTTTCATAGCAAGTATAAATAAATCAGCTGTTCTTACAGGCAGTGTTGATATTGCTTGTTATCTGCTGATTGCTATACAAGACCACTGTCACTCAAGATAAAAACACTCTAGATAAAAGGATTAGTCAATATTTATAGAACTGTATAAGCAGTTCAAATAGCTCAGGTTGGAGGAGCAGTTTAGCATGTAAAAAAAAGTATTCTCAAATGATGTAAGACATACCAAAAGCAAGTGCAAGGGGAACTATTATTTTCTTTTCAGTGGTTATATGCATTAGCTCAGCTAAAGATATTTGTGTTTTTAAAGTAAAAAGTAAAGTAAAATCATTCAGCATATTCTCTTCTAAATATATTACACACCTACCTAAAATTTCAGATAATGTGAATATTTTTATCATATTTTTCACTGACACATTATTACTATAGGGTAGCTATTTTCTAACTTTTAACCTCTTAATTAAAATCTGTTTCAAATTTAGCAGCAAAGGTTTCCTACAGAACCAGGATAAAAAAAGCAATTATTCAAGCATAATTCTGCCGAACACCACTAATTTTCATTTTGATCAAACAGTTTTAAAATTATTATCCAAGTTACACTTTTTATACACACGTTTGGTTAGAAATCTGTTTACAGCCTTCTGCCTTTCCTTGACACTATATACATATCAAGCAAGTACAAGCAAGCAGTCTGGATAGATACTACATGTTCAATACAGTCTAAGCGCACATACAATTTCACAAAAAGAAAATATTTACCTGTAAACATTGTCATTAAAATGATATAAACCTGTATCCTAGCTGCAACCATCTTTTTCCGGAGGAAAAAGATCGTTTAGCACTTAAGCAGTCCACAAAGTAAGTTTCTGTGAAATTCAAAACAGTTCCTAGTACAAAGGCTTCCTTTCCAGGGTTAGCTTGCTCCACTTTTGTACCTGCTGATGTAGTCTGATGGTGTATTTTGCCCAAGCCAGATCAACGAGGCTTAAAGTAAGACTCATTAAACTGCTTACGCAGTAGATATGTATTCTACTTAAATTCTTTTTCAGCATGTTCTCTCCGAGTGTACTTACACTAAACTTTGATTGTTTCACAGAAAGGCGTATTTTTAGGATCCATTCAAAATTGATTTGTCACTTTTTGTTGTTTTACAAGGTGTTTTTTAAGACTGTATTTCTTTCATTTTCAAGAGATTTGTTAATCCAGATCAAATCTTTCACGGTCACTGTCATTCAGAGAAACTGTACATTTCAATAAGAAGATAGAAAAGACCTAAAATTGTATCTCGTTTCTTTATTTTATAAAGTATTTTTGTTCCGTTGGCTCTCGTACTACTTACTGGAAATTTATGTCTGTAGATTTTTGAGTGTGCTAAAGACAGGAGAAAAAATATTTACTAAAACATTTTCTTTCTTCAGCTCTTGAACAAGACATTTTGATTTGGACTTACTTTAATGTGAGGAAAATAAGAGTTCAGGAGATTGAACTACTGATTTCTGTGATAATTGAAGCAGCAGACTTTTTTCTTTTCACTATACTTTATTTATGTCATGAATTGCTTAAAATATTGCTAGAGCAATATCTCTTTGTGTAATTAGTGAAATAATTGTAAAGCAAGAAAGTCTTTCCCTGGGTTGGCATTTATACCATCCAGCTGGCATATGGCAAACTGTGGATTCAGATCTTTGTTTTGGCAGTTTCCCATTTTAAAACTTCAACAATGGATCCTGAAGCCTCTCTCA